CAGGTGATCACACGCCCCTTACGGACCCGAAAATCGGAATCACACGCCCCTTACGGACCCGAAAATCGGACCGGAACTGGCGTCGGTATCGCGGATCACTGTCGACAACCCGATCCGAAGGTCGTAAAATCACGATATCTAGTTCAGACGGCAGATTAGGTAGCACGTCAACCGTCTTGACCGTGTTCTGCATAAAACTTACACAGTGTCCCGAGTAGTGGTACTGGTGGCCACGGTAGCGGTGGACCATCATCTGCACATGGGACCGGGCGATGATCATCTCTTCTACTTGTGTAAGCTCTGGCAGGTGGGCCGGGAGCTCTCCTGGGTCCATTTCGTTCTCCGCGGACATGAGGAAGGGTGTTTTGCTGCCCTTATCTCGCAAGAAGCAGGCGTGGCAGACCTCAGCCTTTAGATCCATCACAAACCACCGTTCCTTGCAGCGGGTGCAGGTCTCCATCTTGACCTGATCCATGGCGGCGTGAAAACTCTGTATATACCTCCATTGCCCGGTGGGAAGGAAGCCCGCGGCAAGAAAGCAAGAGAGCAAGCATATAGCCATGGTTGCATATGAAGTTGCATTTGAAGCTGTGACGGTTGTGTTGTGCTGGATGCGCTATAATTGCTGTGGTGTGACGGCTCTAAGCGCTGTATTTATAGTGGTTCCATCACTAAAGGCACTACAGTGGTGGTTTTTTTGCACTATGTAATGTGCCATTGTGCTGTACTTATGTAAATATATACATCCAGAGGCAGCTTCCCACAACAACCAGCGGCTACAGGTCTCCATCTTGATCTGACCCATGGCAGCGTTGAAACTCTGTATATAGCCCCATTGCTCGCTGGGAATGAAGCCCGCGGCGTGAGGGTGGGCATGATGCTGGATTGGTGGTACGGCTTGAGGGACTCGAGGCTGGACTGGAAGAACCGGTTGAACGACCCGAGGCTGGACTGGAAGAACCGGCTGAGGGCCTCGAGGCTGGACTGGCTGTATCGGTTGGAGCACTCGAGGCTGGATTATTTCATCTTATCGCCTTCCTCCTAAGGGTTACCCGACAGTACGGGTTGAAGGACTCGAGGCTGCACTTGGGGGGGACAGGAAGCTCTCGCGTTGCTCGTGCTTTAGTCTCATCTAGAGAAAAGTTTGGGCCAGTATTGGTTGTTGTGTGTGTGTGTTTTGGGCCAACAAAGTGTCTTGTGGAGTAATTACTGGCTTCGTGGCGGCGCCACTGCTGCTACGAATAATGTGGGTTGGAGCACTCGAGGCTGGATCGGCTGTACGGGTTGAAGGACTCGAGGCTGCACTTGGGGGGGACAGGGTCTGGTCCGCGATTCGGGTAGAGGAGGGAGGACGAGAGGGCCTGGATCACTGTCGAGGAGAGGAGGGAGAGCGGATGCTAGTGGGCGAGGGATAAGGAGGGGTTGTATTGGACGCGATGTAGGGGGGACTGATAGCTTAGGACGTCCACGTCTCTTGGGCGAGACATCAGGACATAATGGCTGTACGGCCTTCCTTTTCTTCGAATTCTTGTCGCGGCAAGGAATGCAGGTGCTGAAGATCTTACTCCCTAGGTCAGAAGAGGTATCTTTTAGCGAGGTCAGGTGCGTGCGCGTTTTTTTGGACCAATAGAAAGGCTTTCCCTTAATGGCCCAGCTGACCAATCAGGTCCGTAGGCACGCAGAACAGTATTTGGAGACCATTTAGGCTCACTGAGACTTCGGGAGGGTGACGCGCAGAGAGTATCGCGAGGTCAGGTGCGTGCGCGTTTTATATGGACCAATAGAAAGATTTTCCCTTACGGAGCCTCTGCCAACGAGGGGCCGCGGATAGGCTATTCGCGGGGGTAAAGAAGCTTTCTTCTTCTCTTTCTTTACTTGAATTTTATGGGTGCCAGTCCCCGCTGCAATTGAGGCTGCGAGATTTGACTGCGATTGAAGCTGCGATTGAAGCTGTGATAGTTGTGTTGTGCTGGATGCGCTATAATTGCAGTGGTGGGAGCGCTCTAAGCGCTGTATTTATTGTGGTTCTATCACTAAAGGCGCTATAGTGGTGGTTTTTTTGCACTATCTAATGTGCCAATCTGCTGTAGTTATGTAAGGTAGCTTCCCGCAACAACAATTTCGCTGTTCAAGAATCGACCATGAATTCAATTGTGAACTTTCCAGCCAACTTAGTGAGCCTTCTTTCGTAAATTACTACGCTCAGAAACTTGATATTAAACTTGCCTGAATCTGGGCCATTTGATCTGGCTGGTTCTTATGAACGTTTGTTCCCCATTTCATCTTCTTGTCTTCCTCCTAAGAGCTACCCGACACCACTGAAGCACGAGCGTTGCTCGCTGCCCGTGCTTCAGTCTGATAGTTTTGGGCAAGTATTGGTTGTTGTGTGTTTTGGGCCAGCAAAAGTGCCTTATAGAGTAGTTACTGCTTTGTGGCGGCGCCACTAATGCTACGAATAGGTGTACTCGAAGTTAAAAGCTCTCGATCCGACAGCCCAGCAGCTTTGGGATCCGTTGAATTCGAAGCCTTCGAACCGGCAACAACCTTACAGACTTGAATTATTCCCTCCGGGAGCCCGCTGGGTGCGCCTGCAGCGAGCTGTTCTTCTCTCTTTCTATTTCATGGGGGCTAGCCCCCAAACCCCCAGTCGTTCGTCTCTTTCTATTTCATGGGGGCTAGCCCCCAAACCCCCAGTCCTCACTTCGTTCGAGAAAGGCTACGGATCGGAATGCTATCTAGGCCAGCAGAGGCATTCTTCAGAAAGCAAGAGAGCAAGCATATATAGGCATGGATAGAGCAGCACTCTGTATCTATATTGTTTTGTTGTTGGAAAAGAAATACGCAAAGTGCGAAGCTTCACCATGACTGCTGCAGAAGACGCGTAGATGATGGCCAGAGCGCGTAGATCATCGCAGGTCAGGTGACAGCGCGTTTGGAATGGACCAATGAGAAGGCAGCGCTATTAGCCAATCAGAAGCCTTGGAAACAGGCCAATCAGAAGCCCCAAAAACACGTGATGGAAATTGAGCCCCTAGAATAGTTATAGAATTGGTACACGTGATCGCGGGCAGGGGGGTCGGAGTATAGAAAAGCTTCGCTCAATCAACAGAGGCAGCCTTATCCGAACAGCTGTTTCGCTGCTCCTTCGCAGCTGTCATTGCAACCGCTGTTGGTACGAAACTCCGTAAAATTTACAAGCTGAGGTACATCGTCCAATGTACTGTGGGGCTTGTTTCCTGTCTTCCCTACTTGGCTTGTGTCTTTCCGAGTTTTGCAACAGTGACATCTATAGG